GTCAAAGAACTACACAGTGGCGGAGCCCCGGGGGCGGATGAGGTTCGTCCTGGGTATCTCAAGGCTATGGATGTTGTAGGGCTGTCATGGTTGACACGTCTCTACAACATTGCGTGGTCATCAGGGGCAGTTCCTAGGGAGTGGCAGACCGGGGTGGTGGTCCCCATCTTTAAGAAGGGTGACCTGAGGGTGTGTTCCAACTATAGGGGGATCACACTCCTCAGCCTCCCTGGAAAGGTCTACTCCAAGGTACTGGAAAGGAGGGTTCGATCGATAGTTGAATCTCAGATAGAGGAGGAGCAATGTGGTTTTCGTCCTGGCCGTGGAACTGTGGACCAGCTCTATACCCTTGCAAGGGTGATGGAGGGGGCATGGGAGTTTGCCCAACCAATCCACACGTGCTTTGTGGATTTGGAGAAGGCTTATGACCGTGTCCCCAGGGGCACCCTGTGGGGGACGCTCCAGGAGTATGGGGTGGGTGGCTTTCTGTTAAGGGCCATTCAGTCCCTTTACCAGAGGAGCGTGAGTTTGGTCCTCATAGCCGGTAGTAAGTCGGACCTGTTCCCAGTGAGGGTTGGACTCCGCCAGGGCTGTCCTTTGTCACCGGTTCTGTTCATCACTTTTATGGACAGAATTTCTAGACGCAGCCGTGGTGTGGAGTGTGTCGAGTTTGGTGGCAGGAGAATCTCGTCTCTGCTTTTTGCGGATGATGTGGTCCTCCTAGCTTCATCCAGCTCTGACCTTCAGCTCTTGCTGGGTAGGTTCGCGGCCGAATGTGAAGCGGCTGGGATGAGGATCAGCACCTCCAAATCTGAGACCATGGTTCTCGACCGGAAAAGGGTGGCTTGCCACCTCCGGGTCGGGGGAGAGGTCCTACCTCAAGTGGAGGAGTTTAAGTATCTCGGGGTCTTGTTCACGAGTGAGGGTAGGAGGGATCGGGAGATCGACAGGCGGATTGGTTCGGCGTCTGCAGTGATGCGGACGCTGAGCCGATCTGTCGTGGGGAAGAGGGAGCTGAGCCAGAAAGCCAGGCTCTCGATTTACCTGCCCGAGGAGGTGTTTCGGGCATGTCCTGCCGGCAGAAGGCCCCCGGGTCGACCCAGGACACGTTGGAGAGGTTACATCTCCAATCTGGTCCGGGAACGCCTTGGGGTCCTGCCGGAGGAGCTGGTGGACAAGGCCGGGGAGAGGACGGCCTGGAGCTCCCTAGTTGGGATGCTGTCCCCGCGACCCGGACCCGGATAAGCGGAGGAAGACGACGACGACGACGACTCGCCGAACGGCATTGAATTCACAGATAAAAAAGATGTGGATTCAACTTTCATTTTGGAACAATTTTTCAAGCAAGGGAAGGGAATGATCTGAGCATGCAGGAGGACTGACCCATCATAAACCTTTGCCGGCTGTGCCGAAGAGAAAGGTACAGAACCAAATTATTTAATTAATTAGCTGCGCGTTCTCCTGTTCTCCCCCCCCCCACCCACACACACCAACACACACAAGGGACTGTCTCAGCTGTTATTTTTGTTAAGGAGTGTGCACGTACAGCATGCGCGCCTCGTGCACGAGCTTACTATTGAAGCTGCCGTTATGCTTTTGGCCTGAGGGGGCAATCGCGGGCATAAAAATTCAAAACTCCGTAAAGTCCCTTTAAATTTAAACTTGAAATTTGTCCCAAAAGTAGCTGCTGGCTCCTGATCTGCCATCCTTTTGAAAATACTGCGGTGTATTCTGGGAAATTTTTGACCAAGGCCAGCTACAAGACACCTCCCGTGCCCTCCTCTCCTGGCTCAGCTAGCTAAACGGCTAACAAACGGAGAACAGACGCCTCGGTAGAACATGAACACTGGAACATGCCTTGGCAGTTCCAGATGACGTATCTCCTAGGAAACCGGGGCGTGACCAAGACATCAAGGCGAGGTTACTTGGCATTGAGAAACACCCAGGGTTGCTCTGATCCATGGAGAAACTTCCTGTTCCTTCGAAAGGCCCCGCTCCCTTTTGGGTATTTCAGTTCTGTTGAAGTAACCAGTTACTGATTATTTTAATAGGGTAAGATTTTTGTAATTTAATCATACTAACGATGTTTTCTGACTAAGTTTAAACTCTTCTGCCGCTGCTGATCAACCTGCGTGAAAGAAGCTAGCTATCCTGCTGCACATTAATCATTTAAATAGTGCACCTCTGTACCCAATTTAGCTAAACCTGCCCTCTGCCCAACTGGTTCATAAAGAAAAGCACAATACAAGACACATCAGGTGGCTTTGATGATCCAATCAGATGGATTTCTGTCCATACTAGTGGTTCTTCTGGTGTTATTTAACCAAGTCCAGTCTCTGTGGTGAAAATACCTTGACTTGTTCTGTTGAGATGACTAATAAGCCCCACATATACTATCTGTTAGCTTATCTACCCAGTTAAAGCTACATACAACAGGTAACATGCTCATGACATGCACAGAAACACATCTGCTGCATTTTCATTATAATACAGACCTTATTCTTTCCCAGCCACTATAAACGACAATCAAGCCACTAGCAGCCACTTCTGTCAACCTAATCCCAGATTGTAGGACAGTTTACCAGCTTAACCGAGTTTATTAATCATTAGTGAGTAGTATTTTTGTTTTATATGTCCTGGCTGATCTGGACTCAAAGACCAGGCTCGTTAGAGTGAGACACATCAACAGAGTGACTAGTAATATACACACACCAACACTAACACCAAGCATCCATCAGCTCATCAGCAGACTTCCCATGTGTTTATGCACTCATTCATCCATCCATCAATCTGCCCTTCCTCTATCTTCTGTCCATTTATCTCCCTCTGGTTCTGGCCTGAAGCCTGAGCACTTACAGGCTCATCAGTCTGACTGCCAAGCCACCTGCCCATGTATTAATGTGCCACTCCCTTTATATAGGACCACAAATGCAACACATTCGTTGAATTGATAAGTAAAACCAATAAATCAGCAGTTTAATCTGCCTGTAGCCCTCCGGCTATTGAAAATCTATTTATTGTGTCCTGGTTTACCCAGAGTGTCGTGGCCCACTCCCTCCATGGGAACTCAGTCTCCATGCAAACATACAAATACACTTTATTCAATTTTGAAAAGATTTCATCTTTCATTTCAGCTCACTGAAGCGAGGACCCAACCAGGAACAGATAGTCATATCTGATCAAGAGCACCACAATAAATATTAAAATGTTTCCAAGGCAAACCTCAAAAAGACCATTTTAATATTCTCACTGTTTTATTATTCTGGTGCGATGCCAAGATAACAGTCAGCAGGTCAGTCGGCATCAAGACCGACTTTGAAAAGGTTATAAATGATAGAAGGAAACAGATTATTATGCCCACCCTACTAACTCTGCGCTGCAACTGTTCTGGGACAAACGAAAACAGCATTTGTCTCTTTGGGACTCCGACCAGACCTTTTATCACGTTTCAGCTCTAATCACATTTTATTTTTACTCGTAGAGAGAAGAAAGCCTCCTTTAAGAGAGAGCAGACAGCAGTGGTATGAATGATGACGCTACCTCCACCCACCGATCATCATCGTACAGGTGAGCCGTAAACAGAATGTTGGCTCTTTATGAAAATCAACAGGGCAGTAGACTAACTTGTTACAGACAACAGAAAGAACACAGGAGCTTCTATGATCTTCATGGTGGCGCAGTTGTTAGCACTGTTGCCTCGCAGCACGAAGGTTGCAGGTTCGAAACTCGGCTGCTGCCTTTCTGCGTGGAGTTGCGTGTTCTCCCCATGCATGCGTGGGTTTCCTCCGGGTACTCAGGTTTCCCCCACAGATCACAACATGCCCTATAGGTTATAAATTGTAAGTCGCTTTGGATAAAAGCGTCTGCCAAATAAATAAACATAAACATCTAGTAACTCATTTATAACGCACATGCAACTCAGTGCAAGAAGACGGCATTTCCTACGCCTCCAAGACGTTCCGAAATTAACTGTTACGGATGTACTTTGCTTTTGGTAAGTTTGGACAAATTCAGCTGTAGAAAAAAAGCCATCTTCTTATTGGTGCACGGCAGAACCAGAAAAGCTGCTGAGATGACTTCCTGTGCTAAAGCGCACTGGCTCCAGTCAGAAACCAATAGAGGAAGTGGAGGGTTTTAAACATGTGACTGGTGGATTGCCTGGACTCCTCCCTTATAACCAGACTGTTTGGTACTATACAGATGAGCAGATTACTTTGAAGCTTTCCTGATGGGTTTCCTCAACTTCCTCATTTAGCCTGATTGTTGTTGGTGGCAATTACAGCCACTGAAGCGCCCGAAACCCCGAAACCCTTCCCCATCCACCTGATCAGGCTTGGTTTTCCAGAAGTGTGTTATGTGTGAGTCCACTTCAACAAAGTGGTAAGCAGCCGAAAGATAATACGGGACTTTAGGACTGAAAGGGTAAAGGTGTAAATCATCTTGTTACAGGAGCCCAATCCAAAGAATAGCAAGAATCACGTTTTAGTGAAGTTTTAAAGCAAAAGCTTTTTATTGTTCTCCATTTCTTTCACTAAAGAAGGAAAACTTTTGAACTAGTCACTTGTAATGAAACAAAATCTCCCAAAAAAGTTATAAAAATGTCTGCCTGTCGCTGGCTGAGTGACTTCGCTCTGAGCTGCTCATTTCTCCAGGCCAACTGCCAGACGTCATCAATACAGTAGGAGTACGGCTTCCCCTGTTCCAATCTTCCTCTGCTTGATTCAGTTTGCTCTCATTAACTGGGATCCATCGTCCTCTACGTCCTCTCCTCACATGGAGCTAATCTCTCTCCTCATCTTTGCTCCACTTCTGAGTGAATAATCATCTCAGGCTAACAGCAGCTCCATGCTTCACCCAGCATGCAGGGATTGTAATAACAACACTGGTAGCGTTTATGTCCTCTGGGGGGTCTGTCCCAAAATTGACTCATAAATTCAGAACAACCTTAAATGGTAAAACCAACGTAGAAGATAAGGCACAGAAGGCAGTGGGGTACTTACGTTGGCCCCAGCGGCCTGTGCGAGGGTTTAGGTAGTTTGGGTAGAGCCCGTTGGGTCGGTCCATTTTGGCTAGCAGCTTCCGGATGTGCATCACCTGAGAAGAACACCAGTATCAAGAGTTTTAATCAATCTGGAAGACTTAATCTTTTATTCAATATATAAATAAATGCTCTTTATTTATAGGTTTTTATTTTCCCCTACTCGTTTTTTTTCCTACTCGGTGAAGAGCAGGTAAAGCTAATTTGACTGTAATGGTTCATTTTAGGGTCTCAGTCATCTAGAGAAGGGTAATTATAACTTATTTATGTTTTAAATATATTTGGATTATCATCTGAGGAGTTTTATAAATTAAAAACAGCTGTTAAAACATAGAGATCACGGTCTTAAAGCTACAATGGCAAATCTGCAAAACAAACTAGCTTAAAACACTTTCTCACACCTCTTAACAATGTTCCAACATAGAATAGGATAAAATGGCTGTAAATGCTTTGAGGAGATAAAAAAATTCTAAGACAATGAAGTGGTTCTCTTAACATTTGGACCATCCAGTTGTCGGTCCCATTGAACCACAACACTTCTCTGGGTCCTCCACTCATTACACACCACTGGTGTGAGAGGTTCTCCACTCAATAACAGAGAGGGAGAAACAGCCGGCTGCTACCACCTTAGGACAAACATACCAGACACCGTTTGAAGTCATGGACAACAAAAGATGCTTGGACCTAGGAGAAAACGTCTGGTGTTTAGCGCTATCTCTGTTACTGTGGCAATGCGCGTTCCAGTTTCAGGGTGTGGTCTGGGGTGATAGCCAATGGGAGGGGTGAGAGTTCTGTGCTCAAAAGCTAGCTTGTTTTGCAGATTTATCATTGCAGCTTAAATGCTCAGTTTTCATCCAGTCATTCAATTAGAAAAAAAGGTAAAGCTTAATTAAAATCAGTGGATCTCCTTACTGCCACTGAATGAAATGGAAAGACCCCTCCACCTGTCTCCTAAGGACAGAAGGCCGTCTCCCAGAAGAGACGGCAACATTAGCATTCGCCAGCAGAACAACAGATTAACACAACAAAATTAAAAACCACCCAGAGGAGACGACTAAGCCCAACCTACTGATTAAACCTTGGTGCTTATCTGTGTGAATTCATAAAATTCCTCAAACGAGAAGAAAAATGGCTTCTAGAAGAAAAAAAATATTATTTGAATAAATAAAATTGTTTTAATCTACTAGAAGATTGTAGGTATCTGAGAGGATATGTTACAGAACAGCAGCCATATATGTCAGCATGTCAAACAGCAGTGTGGAAACTAAACAAAACCCACAAACACGCACACACACAAACGTGCGCTCACCTTCTGGTAGTACACAGGGTTTCCCGTCAAGTAGGTGAGGTGAACAAACTCCATGTGGAGAGTCCCAAACTCAGCCAGGATGCTGCTGCCTGCTGAAGCCCAGCCCCAGTTACGACCAACACCGCTGGAGACGGACAGATGAGAGAAAAAAACAGAAAGAAAATTTCACCGAAGCAAAAATACATCTGAGTGTCAGAGCTGTTCCTCAGACTTGTTAAAAAGCTTTGAGGTTGCCTAAAGCCTGCTGCACATGAGAGCAGGCTGCTGAGCGCTCAGCAGATACCTTGCTGTGTGTGCCTAATTTTCACTGAGTTTTCTGCCTCACCAGAGGTCTCGTTTATCAAACATTGCATAGAATCCTTACTAAAACCGTACTTAAGCTCAGCAAAAAAAAAAGGACTTACGCCAAGTAGGTTTGTGACATATACAACATGGAGTACGCACGGCTGCACGCAATCTCTGCTTCATAAATCAGAGACTAACGAGAATGTTTATCAGCTGCATTTTAGTCACATCCCGCCCTCACCACGTCCACTTACTGCCATAAATGATCAATGCAAAGTGCCTTGTGGATCTCATGCATATACATAAGCCGGCTTGTTGCAGCATTTCGATCCCGACCGCAGATCAAGGAAGCGTTATTTCACAAGCAGAAGTTGAAGTACTTGCGGGTGAGGTGGAGAAATGAAAGGAAGTGCTTTTGCAAAACAAATAAGAGAAAATCCACGGAGTGGCACAGCGTTGCTGAAGCCGTCAATGTTGTTAGTTCTTCAGAGATCTGTGGCAGATATAAAAAAAATGGTCCAATCGGGATTCGATCCCCATACTCCCGGGTGAAAGTCACGCAGGCTAACCAGTCAGCCAAATGGAGATCTCCCTTGTCCAAGTAGCCAGGGCACATGATCAATCAGGTCATAGTGACAGGACACAGACGCATGACATTCTGTCTCAATCTGTGCCCCTAATGATATTCTGCATTCCGTATTCTGCGCTTCAGGCTGTGTGTGTATGTGCGTGCGCGTGTGGGTGTGTTGGGGGGGGGTGTCTTGTTCTAAAACGAAGCAGTACAAGTGATAATGCTGCAGGATTTCATAATTTTATCCTTCTCAGCAGCAGCACTGCAGGTGCTCTCCACGTCCAAAATGTGCGTAAGCCAGGTCCTTAGTCAACTTAAAGTTGCGCACATTTTCCGCTAAGTTTTCTTTCATAAATCCCAAAGTTTGCGTGGAAAGTTGCTAACGCAGTTTTCCGACCCCGTTTTGTGCGTAAGCAAGCCTAGATAAATGAGGCTAGATGCTGAGGTGAAAATCAAACCGATTTGATATTCTTCACCTCACGGGGGGTAAAACGTCACCGTGTGCGCCCAACGTGAGCTGCCGGCTGAGCGGAAATATTCTACTGACCAATCAAAGCCATTGGCCAAAAAAAAGTGCACTGTGTTTTAAAGAAGAATAAATAAATAAACAAACAGTAAAACCCTAGAAAGGCAAAAAAAAAAAAAATTCATAATTTTCGTAGACAAATAATAGACGAAAACAAAAATTGACAGAAATGAAAATCCAAAGATTGGATAACCGAAAAAAGAACCAATCAGAGTCTGGATCTGGTCGCGGTTTAAACAAGCTACCGCTAACCGGACATCGATGCCGGCAACGGTTTATGTCTAAAAGGAGAAAATGTCCACAGCTGGGAGGAAGAGCATTAGATGTGAAGATCTGAAAACAATTTGATTGGTGAATACACATCAGCTGTTTTCCTGTCATGTTTACAAATATTACTGCACATCATACAGATTTGTTTACTTTAACTTCTGAGAGAAAATTTTAAACTGTCTGTGCTCATTTTGGTATTTTACATTAAATATTGTTAACAATTATAAATTTTGAGTTTCATTGATCCAAAGTGTGAAATGTGAATTTCTCATATTTCTTTACGGTTTCAAGTAGGTGTGGTTAATACTTCCTTTACAGAAGTACATGTACTTCAGTTGACTAAAATAGGACTCAAATTCAAATAAATTGGAAGACTGAATAGTGACTAAACGACTAAGTCCAAGACAAAGACCTGAATACAGCAGGATTGAGGTCTCACACAGAGGTCGGTGCTTAGCAACTGTTCACTAGATTTAGAGGACCACTGGTTTTAAAGGTTTATTCATAAATCCAGGATCAACAGGGCATCAGGTGACCTGAGGTTTCCAAGAGTACAAGTTAACACTTTTCTGCAGCTGCTCAAAGAAAAACAAAAGCTCTATTTATTAAAACCACTTCTTTCAGTTTGAAATTTGAGTGCAGCTGAAGAGGACATACAATGAAAAAGGTGTTTATTGTTCTGTACATAGTGTGTTCACACCCACGCAGCTTGGTGGAGAGCTCTAATCAGGCCGAATATGTGAAAAGGCCTAAGTGGGAGGACTTTGGATGTGCTGGAGTTCTTATCGCCGAGACAGAAATATCTGACATCACAGCAGCGTGGAGAACTTGGGAGAGTAATCAGGAACCAAACATTACACTCTTTGAGGCTTTGGTCTTTCACATGAGTTAAAGAAAAACCTCTCACACCAAAGGTATCAACAGGAATCTTTTGGTGTACGTTTAAAGGCAGGTCAAACGTTATCATGAATTTGCTGCACGTTTAATAGGAAATCAGAGTTACTGAAGCATTTCATCACCAGGACAATTGATGAGTTAGAATGGACCCTGTGGTTTTTATACCAGACCTTAATGCTCATGCATTAATGGTAACATATGTTGTAAGATCCAGTACTGATCTACTTGTTGGCCTCCCCCATAGTATGTCAGTTGAGGGCTTCTGGTGGAGCCCATCACCCTTTCGGGGGAGCTGGGCTCCCCCTAGCTCCCCTGTGATTCAAACCCTTGATGTAGAGTTGGTGACTATTTTTATAGATAAGCTGGTCTTTAAAAATATAAACATGAACAAACGGCATGACACAAGAACAATAATTCTAAAACAAAGTGTTTTACCTTTGTTGGCCGACTAAAGGTGAGCGTTCACAAACAAGAGGCACCTGCAGAGCTGTAATCACAACGTAGTGAAATGGACTTAAGGTGCAATACATTTTTCATTGCCTCTAGACGGTGCCCTCTGAGAAAAACTCCAGATCTCCAACTGTAGTGTGTATAATCATAGCTTTTATTAAAGTATTTACCAAACTTTGTTTCTGCTGGTACTTTTAGTCATTTTGCCTCATCGCCCATCACCGAAAGGCAGTAGGTGGACAATCACAATGAGAGATCCATTTGCTTACTGCAGTTTTACTGCGACAGTCACTCCTGAGTGCCACAAACACAAAAAAGATTTTCTTTTTCCCTCATGAGTTTACAACTACTTCTCTCGTATCACACCAATGTACTCGGTGTTTACTGTGTCAAGCAGAATTGGTGTTTGCTTTTGTTTTTTACAGTTCCGTTGACAGCCCTCATATGTAATTTTTATTTCCACCCATGGACGTAATTTTCACTTTAGAAGTGGGGGGGACACGTGTGTGTGTGTGTGTGTGTGTGGGGGGGGGGTGTCTTTACAGTATGTTCTAATGGGAAACAGGCTTCAACACAAATGGTTGTTTTCTGCTTGGTCCTAGAGCTCAACCAGTGCCAATTTAATATAAAGTATTGGTAAAAAGTGCAGGGGTGAAAACTTGACTTTGGAGAAAGTGGGGGGGACATGTCCCCCCTGTCCCCCCCCAAAATTACGTCCATGTTTCCACCCAAATCTGGGAGGCTAGCACCCCAGTGCCACCTTTGGATGAGCCACCGCATGTTTATAAACCTGTAGAGAGCATAAATGCATCTAGCCTGCCTCTTCTTGCCAAGATATTCTCTATTGCAGGGGTCCCCAACAAGTGGCTTGCGAGCTACCAGCAGCAAGTTGTTCCCATTTTCCATAATATCTGATCTAAAATGAGCATTTTGTGAAAACAAAAGAAAAATCAGATTTTTGCAAGAATCTTTCGACAAACGTGCAAGTCTGTATTACTGGCAATAAGCAGTCATTGTAGGGGTTACAGCACTAATCCCCATTTCTGTCAACTTTGATAGCAGCGGGTGCTGACGCAGACGTGCAGAAGACGGGGCGAGTTGTACAGTTATGCAGACCTGGTTTGGGTTTAAAGAGTCTGATGTTGAACAGAAAAACATCCTCAGTAAAATAATCTGGGTGAAGGTAAAGTCCTATCTGCGGTAACAGCACATTAATGCAAATTAAATGTGTTTGTTTCTGAACACATGATGAAGACAGGCTTCCAAACTCTCTGGACATCTCCTGTGATTTAGTGTCAACAAATTTCCCTCAACGGTTTCAACTGATTCTCCCATTTAGTAATAAAATACGATTTTTAAATTGCTCTCTTTCTTCTCCGTGTTGCATAGCCATCAGAACCGCGGATCAGCTGATCCAGAGGCTGAGAAAAAGGATAAACCTCCAATCTTATTCTAATATTGTCAACAAAAAATGCAATAAAGCACAATTTTACCTGCAGTTATTCACTAGTGAAGCACAACTTAACTTTCATGACGAAAAAAATAAACATAAACAATTATTCAAAGAATCTAGAAAGCAGGAAGAAATGTTATTTCTGTTTTTACACTTTTTCTTACTTCAGTTCAAACTATTTATATTTTTGTCACATTTAGCTTGTATTTTATTTGAAATATCTACAGCTTCATTCATTTAAAGTGTAGTTTTTACCATTAATCTCTCGAAATATCCATCAAAATGTTGTAGTAAATGAATTAAAAGAAGCCCAGTTGATGAAAAATATTGGCAGTTTCATAACGTACAGCCATAAAAATCTGTTCTAAAATACATGGGAGTGGGTCTAAAGCCCAATCTCAATACTCGCACTGTGCCCTGTGGTATTCAGCAAAGTGCACTTGGAGAAAGTGCGCAGTAGGGTTCGAGGGCATGGTACACAAGTGTGCAAATAATAGCCGAATTGAGACAGGGAGCATTGAGTCATCGATCGCAACGTGTGCCGGGATGCTGGTGGCTGTTAAACTTTTTTCTAAAACCTTTATAAACAACTTTCCAACAAACAACAAAGCAATAATTTGAAATAAATTTAACTTCATTGCTGCGTTGTCGAAAACATTCAGAGCATCAAATAATCATCCTAAAATGAACTAATTTCATTAGAAAATGCATATTGTCAGAAAAGGAACTTGAGCCTTTTCTCCGGCAGCAATGACTTGTGGGTAATACCCTTGCCCGAGGTCCGCATCGCTGCAGACTTGGGTGAAGTGCAGATTAAGGGTGCAATGGGGGCGTGGTCAACTTCCACACTTGAGTATCGGGACACCCTAAGCACTCGCACCCCTGGCCGGGAATGCGTAGAAGAAGGGCGCAAGGGTGCAAGTGCGAGTATTGAGACTGGGCCCAAATCGCTGGGTGACGCCATATAGGATGCCATGTTTCCTTCTACAGAAGCCCGTGAGGACAGAACACATTTACTGATTCGTAACAAATGGTTACAAAACTTTCACCATAAATAAACGTTGTTGTGTTACACATTTACCTCTTCACTCGTTGCCAGCGATGAAAGGGAATCTGATGTTCTTGTTATTTTGCTGGAGGTTGTGACCCCAGGGATTTTTGACCCTAATGGCCATCCGTTGGTAAGGTGTTACTTGAACACAAAAGTAGTGCTTGCTTGCAATGATTTAGGTATGCACTGCCCCCTATTGCCAGGGAATCTACACACTGTCACTTTAATGAGAATTTTAGTGTAACATGTTTGGAAAAAGAATCATAACAATTATTTGAGAGGTTTTTTATTAAATGTCATTTAAAGAATATTAAATGTTCTTTAAATTTATGCCACTGGAAATTTTAGTTCATTTATGTCAAAATAGCTGAACTCTATGAAAAACTGACATTACTGCTTAGGCTCTGGGCAGGGCACGGGGTCAGGAGCAGGTTAGCTGTTCATTTGAGAACAGAGTTACGTAACTGATACATCATAGACATAAAATCTCATCATTCACAGGAAGTAGATTCGTATTTCTTTTTCTGAAAATGTCTAGACTAGTTAAAAAACAAAATATGTTTTATTTTGTCTAGTTTGAGTTTCAAAACAGGAATGTCACTATTTTCTTTTAAATACAGAGAAATAAAAAATGCATGTTATTATGGTGCATAGCATTTTTTTAACATCATAAGCATATTCACACATGGAAAGTATCAATGTGTATACATTGTATGGCAGTAGCTCTTCTGTACTTTCATTGTGTAAAAGTAGCTCTTGGTCTCCAAAACGTCAGGAGACCCCCGGTCTATTGTGTTTGCAGGTGAAACAGGAAATAGCATGTGGTGCAAAAGTTCATTTATGTCACTAAATCAACCTAAAGCGAGATATTTCAAACTTTTATTTCAAATTTTTTAAAAAGCACACACACACACACACACACACACACACACACACACACACACACACCTCACAATGTCACAAACATTAAAATGGTTTGACAAACTCTTCCCTCAAACTCACTCCTAATAATAGGGGCGACGGTGGCACTGGAGTTAAGTGCTCGCCCCGTAAGCAGAAGGTTGCAGGTTCGAGCCCCGCTCAGTCTGTCGCTGTCGTTGTGTCCTTGGGCAAGACACTTAACCCACGTTGCCTGCTGGTGGTGGTCAGAGGGACTGGTGGCGCCTGTGCTCGGCAGCATCGCCTCTGTCAGTGCGCCCCAGGGCAGCTGTGGCTACATCGTAGCTCATCCCCACCAGTGTGTGAATGTGTGTGTGAATGGATGAATGACTGGTTGTGTTGTAAAGCGCCTTAGGGGGTTCCAGGACTCTAGAAGGTGCTATATCAAATACAGACCACAGGCCATTTACCATTTAATACAACAGAATGGTAAACAGGGTTCATGTTTTCTGAACTTAGAAAATGTGCTTGATGCTTTAAATAGTTTAGCCGTAATCACATTACAAAAAGCTTAGTCTTTTTGGCAGATAAACAAACATTTTCAGAGCCAGCTGTTGACGCTCGGATGATAAATCAGGCTGCAGGTAAATATATTTATTGTGTTAGGGATGAAAGGGTGTGTTCTCTGGGAGGTGTCGCTGACCTTTTAAGGTTGACCATCGCCCAGGGGATCCCAGTAGGAGTGTTAAAGGCAGGAATGAGTTTCTCAGCCAGCTGAACTGCCTTCAGTTTGAACATCTGGAAACACAGAGAGGGGAAGATGGACGGTTAACTTAAAAACTTTTTTATTGCATTCACTTCAGTTTTTCTCAGGCCATCAACTTTTGCTGCTTAAAATGGAGAAGAAGAATAAAACACCTGACGGCAAATAGAGCGAGCAGGAAGACAGGAGACCACTAATGGACGGCCATAGACTTTCAGATTTATAGTGAAAATAACCTAATATGTGCAAAGACTGTTATAAACCAGGCTGGAGCCATATCAAGTTGTTACGAATATTAGAGAGGTCTACATGAAAAGGCCAGAGGTCAGACTGAGCCCAGAAAAGACAAAAACACTTGTTATGGAAAAGTTTATGTCTATTAATTCTTGATCATGGACTAAATCAACTGAATGTAAATGTATTGCTCTATGCCTCTCTGCATGCTCACTTACTCACTTACACACACACACACACACACACACACACACACACACACACACACACACACACACACACACACACACACACACACACACACACACACACACACACACACACACACACACACACACACACTCTTGTCTCACTCATACACACACTGACTCTCTGTCTCACACAATGACCTCACTCCCATTCTCATCTTTCTGTTTAAATAAAGTCTGTGACCGGATGTTCGGGGCATTAGCCTTAGGCACCTTGCCACAGTTATAACTGTTTGACTTGCTGTTCATTGTCCCCTTCTCTCTTCACTACAGGAAATGGGTTATTGATAAACATATTGATAAAATCCATGACAACACTGCAGAGCTGGATTTATTTGATTAGAGTCTAAATGTAAACTGTGAGGATGTGTTTGTTCTGAGATTAGATGACTTGGGTAACTTCCTGAACTTCAAACCAATAAAGACTGTGAAAATGTGCTGCAGGCACGTGAATCAGAGAGAAAGGTGAACAGAGGCTGAACAAGCTACCGACATATTCTCAGATGTGTGGAAGCAGCTGAAGGACGATGGTTGCTTCACAAAGACAAAGCAGGAAAAGGTCTTAGTGGAATCGTTCTGAACATCTCAGACTATATTAGAAGTGGAAGGCAAAACAAAATCACAGCCTGCTTGTAAAGAGTAATGTGACAAAAATGATTATATCATGCAAAATACAGTTTTCGGAGCTTTTGACCAGGTTTTGAAATACACCCCAAAGCAATTTTTGGCTTCACACGAACATTTTCCAGTCTCAGCATCTTCTTCCCTTAAGCTCCGCAAAGATTTGCTGAGCTACTAGACAACCCTGGATGGTGTTGTTGCTACGTCATCTTTGCCCCGCTCCACCCCAACAAGTTGATCTCGAGTCCGGATCCCTCCTCCCCTGGACTGTAAATGCAAAACGTGTAGCTAGCAGAGTTTAATCTCCATTGTTGTGTAGCAGTGTTTTTTTTTTCTTATCTAGTCTGCACTTTACATAATGCCTAGAACCCAAAAATGGATTTGTGTCTGCGAGAGGTACAAAATCAATCCAAAGCCCTTTTTAGGACACACATCATTCCAGCAAATCAGCATAATACTGCCGCCATGGTCTGTCTTATGAGAGCGCCGTGACGGCATGGCAATGTGGTGTAACGGAATGAAATGACTGTTTCCCCCTCTCCTCTGACACAGGACAAGTCTGCATGAGATATGGCCTCAAGGTCTCATGCAGTCATTATAAACTGCTTCTTTCCAGCTCAACAGAAGAATGAAGAATGGACTCTCCTTTTAATAAATCAAAGAACTCTATTTTAATAAAGCTAATCAAACAAAGTGTTAGTCAATAATAAGATGCAACCAATTTGTGAAATCAAAATATTAATTACTTTGTTATTATCCTATAGAATATAATAAGTAACACGACTTTAAATGTTTCCACCAGGACTGATCTCACGTAGCGTTAAAAGACATGACACATTGCTTTCACTGATCCAATCAGAATCTGCCAGATGGTTTTGGTGGTGTTTGGTAAATCTGTAAACTTTTCATTCGACCATAAACCAAAACATCCGAAGTATAAAACTATGCCCACGTCATCTTTAACGCCAGTTCAAAGTGTTCTAGAGAAGTTGTCGGAGTGGCCAATCCGTAACGTTTCTCCTTCAACCAAAAGAACCAACGACAAGCTGGATAAAATCTGTTGCTGTTCCAACTGCTGCAACGGTTCCTTTCAGAATAAAAGCTGAACCAGGTTTGGATCTCACTAGACGCCAACAAAATTGTCAAAATGATCTAATAAATATAGTGGAAGAATTTTTTGTAAGCGTCGGCCCCTCATTAGCAAATGAGATAGCAGTCCCACCTGATGCAGATACTTTTAATAATCTGATAAATAGCAATATCAACTCAATGTTTCTACATGAGATAAGTGAGACTGATGTTGTAAATACAGTAAGAAAATTTAAAAACAAAAAATCCACAGATATAAATGAAATTGATATGAGAATTATAAAAGAAGTTATATTCTCTATTGTGAGACCATTGACATATATATATATATAACCTATCACTACATAAAGGCAATTTTCCTAAAACTATGAAGATAACAATAGTGATCTCAATATTTAAAACTGGAAATAAGCATTGTATGGAAAACTATAGGCCAATAGCAATTATTCCACAATTTTCAAAAATACTCGAGAAATTATTTGTGAACCAGCTAGACGTATATATTACTAAAAATAAATTATTAAGAGACAGTCAATATGGATTTAGAAAAAACAGAACCACTACCTATGCGATAATGCAGATGGTAGAAGAAATAGCCCAAGCAAGTGAAAGCGAAGAACTCTCTATTAGCATATTTGTTGATTTAAAGAAGGCTTTTGACACCACTGACCACAGGAGATTATTGAAAAAGAGGGAAAATTATGGCCTACGAGGTATAGCGAAGTCCTGGATAGAGAGTTACTTCAAAGACAGACAACAGTATGTAAAATTTAAAGATATAAAATCTGGATTTAGAGAAATAAGTTGTGGAGTTCCATAAGGGTCAGTAATAGGTCCTATATTATTTACTTTATATATAAATGACATATGTAACGTGACAGATTTTTTCTAATTTATAATGTTTGCAGATGATACAAATTTAGTTTGTTCAGGTAAAGATGTAAAAGAACTTTTAAAGAAGGCCGAAAAAGAGTTAAATATCCTCAAATCTTGGTTTGATGTAAATGAACTATCACTGAATATAAAAAAACTAAATTTATGATCTTTGGAAATAAGAAGGTAAAAAAAGGGGACTTTAAATTAACAATTTCAGATACTGAAATTGAAAGAGTGTCTGAAATAAAATTTCTTGGTGTTGTGATTGACTCTAACTTATCTTGGAAGTAGGGCTGGGCGATATGACGATTTTAGACCGTTTTACGATCTACACATCTGACGGTCTGTCATTTTTCAGAGACCTTTTTATCACGATTCACAGCTCTGCTGTTGAAATTCTGCCTCTGAATGAAAAGGGAACTTACCCCAGGCGAATGACATGCCTTTGTTTGACCCTTAACCAATCAGAGTGAGTCATAGTAATATATTAGTGCCCCGCTTGTTTTCACCTGTGTGTGAACAAACATGGCTTTGGCCGCGGCTGAGAGTGACAACGAGGTTTTTGTTCCGAAGAGGAACGCCTCGTCCATTATATGGAACTGGTTTGGTTTTTCACCAGATGACAAAGAGCAGCGAAACGTCATTTGCAAGGAGAGCATCAAGGCAAGTGATGGCAACACCACAAACTTGTTTAATCACTTGAAAAGAAGGCATCCCAAACAATACAATGAGAGCCAGCTGGCAGCTAAAGCTAAAATGCCTGCGGCTGCAGCAGCAGCGACTAGTGCTTCTTCCAGGCAGCAAACGCTAACAAACACTCACAAAACTCACTCCCTACGACAGAGACAGCAGACAATGGAACAGCGTGACAGATGCAGTGACGTACCACTTGGTTAAAGATTTGTGTCCCGTGTGAACAGTAGGAACATGATAAAAACATTGGAACCGCGCTACGAGTTTTCCAGCCGCAAGTATTTTTCGAACACCGCCATTCCACGCATGTACGTTGAATGCAAAGTGAGAGTTGCAGAAAATATTCAGAATGCGCAGTTTTTTGCTACCACAAGCGATCTCTGGCCCAGCCGCACATCAGAGCTCTATTTGAGCTTAACTATCCACTACATGAGCAACTGGGAGCTACATAGTATTTTGAACAAGTTAATGTTTGCACAATACGTTTGCAATTGACATGTTTGCACTTTAAATATGTTTACGATTTTAATTTATGTTAAGTTACTTGAAAAACGAGAAAAACTGATTATTGTAATTGTTTGTTTCTCTCAGGGCTTTTATCATCTCTGGTGTGAGTTTAAAATATAAGTGTGTTAGCACTGTGCTGATTATCCCTAATATGAATAAATGTTTATTTATTCAATGTTTCTCTTCTTTAATACGCAATTGAAGTTATGCTATTCATAGATAAAAAAATCGTGATAAAATCGAAATCGTGATAAATATTGGAAAAATCGTGATATTCTATTTTTGCCATATCGCCCAGCCCTACTTGGAAGCATAATTTAAATTATGTAAAAGGAAAAATTGCCAAATCTTTGGGTCTATTATATAAACTGAAGGACATACTAAACCATAAGGCCTTACGTCTAATATACTGTTCACTAATACAACCATACATGGCATATTGTATAGAAATATGGGGTTCAACTTTTAAAACATATATACATGAAATAAAAACTATGCAAAATAAATATTTTCGAGTTTTAAACAAGAGCAATTATTATGCTCATACTGACCTGTTGTTTTCAAAATCACAGATTATGAAATTAGAAGATCTATACTATTATAAAATAATGCCATTTATGTTTAGAGTAAAATTAACAGCTCTGCCAGAAAATATGCTAATGTTTTTTGCAAAGAGGGAAAGTAAATATGATTTAAGAGGTGTATGTATGTTTGTTCTACAAAAAGCCAAAAAGGGAATGAAAAGGAGATGTATCTCTGTAATGGGA